GGTCTCCGTGGGAATCGAACTCACGCGTACTGCGCGTGAGCATGCTCCGTTACCCGCTCGGACACGACGTCGCAGAGAATTTGATGCGCCTCAGGACAATTCCAGAGGTCCAAGCTTCACTCCACCAGAACCTACCTGGCGCCTCGAAGCCCACGTGTGTCGACACCAGCGCCAGCGACGGTGGCCTCCAAGCTGTTGTCTGAGATGTTCTCGCTCTGCACGCTCGTTGCCGAGCGTGGTGTCTCTTGTTGATACGCCAGTGGCTTGATGTCGTGAGTGTGGCCGATGTCGCCGCTGTCTCCGCCGTTCCAGCCGTCTTCTCCAATGTTCTTCATCAGTGCTTATGTTGCGTAAGTGCAACTTTAAGAGGGGGGTAATGTAATGGGCCCCTCCATTACATAAGTAGGTAGATTTCTTTACAAAAGTAGGTGCATCAGCACACGACTAGCGTGTGCTGAAATGCTGTCATACCATTGGCTGATATATGGGGAGCCAGACCCATTATTAGCCAATTGGACTATGACGTGTATTTGAGTGGCCAGGGCTGTGGCCTTGGTCCTAAAATAAAGTCAGAGTTGATTTTTCCTTAAACCTAAGACTCAGTCGTCCTATTGCGAGCTTCCTCAACACTATAGTGTAAGCAAGTAACGGAGTAAATACCTGGCCCGTTACAGGATACGGGCCCTGACGTGGACGACAACTATGATTTATCAGAGGTATCACTGTTGGGAGGTACTGTAACTGAGATCGGAGTAAGAAACTCAGCGACGACGGTGTTCGACCCCGGCGGAATTGGCTACGGCTTAGAACAAGCTGAAGATGATGAATGCAACTCGACGAGAGACCCAACAGAAACCCTAAGACAACACTACTTGGCTAACGCAGCGACCGAAGACGAGCAAGAGGATGATGTTGACGACGGTAAGACCGATATTTTTTGAGCGGAGTGGGACAGATCTGGAGTTGACGGACTACGCTCACGAGCTGGCTTTCCTTCCCGACCTCACTGAAGTTGAGCCTACAGAACTCGACTATGGCGCTCCAAACGTCAAGTCAAGTAGTCATACGCCCGACACCAGTCCGGCTTAAATTGGTGGGCAAGAACTACAAAAGCACGAAGGGATAATGAATTTCAAAGTGGTAATGCTCTACCGCCTCCAGCGTACGGAGCATTGTGCGACATCGACGTTCAAGGACACGAACCCATTAAGCAGAGAGCTCGGCGGATACCTCTCCGCCACTTGAGCAAACTTTACGAGTTGCTGAAGGGGCTTCTTCGAGCTGGGTTGATATCATTCTCGGGCAGCCCTTGGGCCTCGCCAGTGGTGATAGTGCTCAAGAAAAATGGTGTGGATATTCGGCTATGCATCGATTATAAACTGGTTAATGCGGTTACTACGCCGATGGAATACGCTATGCCACTGGTTGATGACCTGCTTACCGAATTGGAAAGTTACTTGTGGTTTTGCTCGCTCGATGCTGCGAGTGGATTCTGGGCAGTCTTGATGACACGCCGAGCTCGGCAGATCTCAGCGTTCGTATGTGCACTTGGACACTTTGAATGGTTACGAATGCCATTTGGATTAAAAAATGCGCCTATGATTTACCAACGACTGATCGACAACGCTCTATGGGGTTACGTTCAACCAAAGGGAGGATGGCAGTTGTTTGCCGAACGAATGGCTGTTGCTGAAGCCGAGTCAGGAACTCGGCGAGTTGAGCTCGGCGGAGTCAGAAATTCAACGGAGAGTCAGCTGACGAAGTTTGAAGCTGACCACAAATCACAAGCTGACTGCGATCCGGTCCAAGACTTGGTAAACGGACCGGACGGCGACATGTTTGCCAATGGAGAACCAGACCAGTCTTCCTTGATTCCGGTGTTCAAGCGGAGGTCGTTTGTCGATGATATCTGTTTTGGGGGGGAGACGTTCGACGCCTGCTTGGAGACACTCGACCGATTACTAGCCCGATTCACAGAATGTCGAATTAGCATCAGCTTTACTAAGAGTATCTTTATCCAACCCAAGGTTGATTTCCTATCGCACGAGATTACGCCAAGTGGCATACGCGCTGATGCGAAAAAGATAGCCGCGATCGCCGAGCTCGCCTTCCCGAAATCGAAGAAGGGAATGCAAGCGTTCCTCGGTGCCCTCAACTACTACGGCCGATTCATCCAGAACTTGGCTGTTTACGGAGCAGTACTCTATCAGCTAAAGGATACGGACTTTGGACCTGGGGGTGACCTGGCGTCAGCAAAAGCATCATTCGCCGAGCTCAAAAGACGGGTAGCAGAAGCTCCAATTCTGCGTCATTTCGACTCGACGAAAGAAGTCCACATAATGTTGTACGCCAATGAGTGGCGCTGAGCAGTACGTTGATGCAACCACACGACGACAAGCTGCACCTAGTCGCTTCTGCGACGCGTACTAAAAGGAGAAACGAAACTCGACTATACATCCCGCTGAGAAAAGAAGAGTGGTCGCGCGGTTGCAATTGCTGAAGGTGTGCTACACTCTCTTGGGCGGGAAAAGAACGCTTCAGCGTCTACACCGCGTTTCTCCACGCTGGAGGTGGGGTGTTTAAGTCAAGAGTCGCTGTAACGTTCGCGCCATTCATTTTCGCATATATGTTTTTCGCCCTCTTACTTTTTGAAGGTGAAGCGAGTACGTGAGCGAGATGTAGACTTCGCCCAGTTGCTCCAGGCGTCGATAACCCCGTTTATCGGACTCGACGATTCCTTGAAGCACCTGGCGCCTCCCTCCAAGAACTCGGCGACAGTTCGAATGGACCCAGCACTGCTATATGCCCGAATACCAGCTGACTTTACTGGATGCGTGCTGTCATTTGATGGCTCAGCGAAGACAGCTAAATACGGCGGGTATGGAAGTTGTTCGTGGATACTGTGGCGCCTTCCAAATTGGGACATTGAGATCGCTGCGAGTGCGTACCTGTCGTCCACCACAGTCAACATCGCCGAGTACACCGGCATAAACAATGGGTCTTGGCGGCGATTGACCGAGAGATAGCTGACCTGATTATCGTGGGTGACTCCCGGCTTGCAATCCGGCAATACATGGGGGTGATAGCATGCAAGAAGGAAACGTTGCAAGTGGAGCTAGCCCGACACAATGATCTCACGAAGCGACTCAACTCGGTCCGGCGGTATCGACACATAGCGCGACACTATAACGCAGCGGCTGATTCTCTCGCTACAGAAGCACTCGAAGCAAAAGCCGGACAAGTAATTCTTGGGACGGATAGGAAAGCAGAACTGAGAATGATTAACCCGAATTAGCGAAAGGAGCTGTACGCCATAGACAACCCAGCGGAAACCCCGCTTGTCACGGCAGTCACTCGTAGCCACATACGCCGAGTTCACTTTGAGGATGAGCTAGATGAAGACTTGGCTAGAGCAAGAGGAGGGAGTCAGGATCACGAAGCCATATCAACAAATCTTGGAGAATCCGCGTTTGAAAGCAGTGGAGATGAATTCGAACAAGTCAGCAGAGCGTCGACTCGGCGGACTAACCGCACGACCCCGAATGTTGAAACAGGGTCGCAGATGGAGTCAGCCCAGACGGCTCAGAATGCCAACGACATTGATCCAGTGATAGTACAGACTGAGCGGAGACGACGAATCGCGAAGGCACAAGACGAAGAACTCAGGTGGGCCGATCTGAAGGCGTACCTAAGAGGTAAATTTGAGGACCTTACACACCGTCGAGCTCAGAATGCCGGCAAAGTCGCAGAAGTCTTTGTACTCAGTGAAGACGGCCTGTTATACAGCCGAGATGAAACTCGCCGACAGGGTGAGCTCGGCGAACCGAACCTCTCATTGAGATTGGTGATTCCGTCAACTATGGTCGACGAGATACTTCATAACTGTCACAATTCGATCGAAGGGGGGCATCAAGGCATCGTCAGAACTTATCACCGAGTCAAGGCCGACTACTACTGGATTGGTCTTTACGCCGACGTGATGAAACATGTTAGGGCCTGCAAGGACTGCAGTACTAGTAAGAGCAAGCCACAGTTGAGAGGTTACTCGCCGGAAAATGTGGTGTCAGACCATCCATTCCAAGTCGTGTCAATGGATTTCGTGATTCCCCTACCTCGAACTCAGCGGGGCAATACTGCACTGCTGTTGTTCCAGGACCACTTCACGGGGTTCGTTATCGCTAAGGCTATGAATGACACCGGGGCACTCGAAGTGGCTAAGGTGTTTGAGGAATGCGTCTTCAGGCAGTTCGGGGCTCCGTCTCTGATACGGCACGACCGAGATCCAAGGTTTATGAGTGAAGTATTCCAAAAGTTCTCCGAGATGATGCTGGTTCTTGCTCTACCTAGAATATTAGCCAATGGGATAACTTCCTCGTAGAAAAGGGCTCAAACAGCATACTTCCGGAAGTACAAATGTACTTCCGGAAGTACGGATGGGTGGAAAAGAAGTCTTTTAGATGGGACATCACCCCGTTTTAGAGGCTCTGTTAATTTAGATACCGGTAAGTCAAGACGTTTAATATATTAAAGAGTCCCCTATTTCACCATCTTTTTTTTGACATCCCTCTCAATCACTTCAAATTTCCTGTTACATATATTTTTAACTTCAAATTTCCTGCCACATGTATTTTTATTAAGCTATAGCTGAAAATAGCTCGCTGAAAAGAACCAAATCGGTTGGAATTCATATTGTACTAAGTAGTATACCTTTTAGTGCACCTGTTTAAATACCGATACAGTACTGCACCCCGTTTTCGCGCCCTTGGACCTTTGATAAACTTCCGGATGTGATGATCATGAATCCAAATGAACTATTGTTTGTATGCTAAAATCGAATTTATTTGCAGATCCTAAATGGTCCACCCCCGCGAAAACGGGGTGCAGTACTGTATTACTTTTTTTAGTGCCCCCTCAAAACCGTTCGTGAGCTTCAACGACCTTTGTCACAGGAAACGCAATCACGAACAGGAATCGTGATTCACGATTCCTCTCGCAATTCGATGACCTCCGCGCCTGTAACCTGTGACGTGCAGCAGCGTCTGCTTAAGCTCTCTGTCTGCGTCATTGCCGATGCCATGGCTAGGCTGAAAATCCAGGGCCACCTCGTTGATGTAAGTCTCGTGCGCGGCTTCGACTCTCCCTTAAAGGTGGATATCTGTGGACCTGCATTTACAGTGCAAGTCGTTCCTGCCACGGGCCCCGCAGTAAAGAAGTTACCGTTCCATTACGTGGACAGAGCCGAGCGAGGACAGGTGATCGTTATCAGTTCTCCCAACGGTAGTACATCCGGTGTCTTCGGCGGACTATTGGCCACCGCCTCCAAATATCGCGGCATTGCTGGTGTCGTAACGGACGGACGAGTGCGCGACGTACAAGAGATCAGCTCGATGGGCTTCCCAGCCTTCTCTCGTGGTACGTCAGTGCACGGAAAGCAAGGCACAACGACGGTTGTGGACGTGAATTGTCCCGTGGTGGTAGGTGGATGCGTTGTCCGCAGCAACGACATCATCAGAGGCGACGTCAACGGCGTGATCGTCGTTCCTGTTGAGCACGCAGCTGAAGTTGCAGCCAAGGCGGAGATCATCGAAGAACAAGACAACAAGGTTGCAGATGCCGTCAAGCAAGGCGTGGGGCTGCAGCAGTCCTTTAAGCGCTTCCGCTCAAAGCTGTAGTACATGTATGTAAATGTAGCCATTTCGCCTACATATCGTACTTAATCAAGTCAAAACCACTTGAAGATACCGCGCTTCTAGCGTTCGCTCAGGGATCGTCTGGAGCTCGTGAAGCGCCCACGAGAGCTTCACACTGTCTAGCAGACACTCACGCAGCTCCGTCGCGCTCTCTCGATTTTGCGCTTGTGTGGCCAAGTACTGCAATGCGTCGCCCAAGAAGCTTCTGCAGTCTTGTATACTGACGACCTCCAGCTCTCTAACGGCAACGGAGTTCATATCCATGGGAATCGTCGATTGCGGGTGTAGCTCCAGCCGCGACCTGTCCACGAGCACAACGCAGCCCATGGACTGTACCAGCGACAGGGCGAACTCGACAGAAGCCTCGGAGCCAATGAGATCCACGACGACGTCCAACGCCAACTCGGTCTGTCGCGCCATCACTTGAGCAACAGCAGCAGGCTGATAAATATCTAGAGGAGTGAGGGATACGTGCTGCGACCACACGGAGGTGCTGACTGTTGACGTGGAGAACACGTGGAGATTTTGCGGTGCGAACTGCACGTTTTGATGTAGATATCGCGTCAATAGGTTCGACAGGATGGCTGACGGTCCGTCAGATAGGATCGCAATGTTGGTTACTTGTCGCCGCTGGAGCTCGTTGGCGATGGAGAGAACGACAGAGATGTCGTCGGATAGCAGTGCTAAGTCATCGGGGACGGCTGGGGGAACAACAGAGAGGTTGGAGACTGGCACCACGATGTACTCGGCGAGAGCGCCACTGGATGCGCTCACACCGATACAGGAGAAGTCGCTGTCGGAAGGCTGAAGCAAGCAAGCATCGGTGTGGGTTTCCTGGCGATGCTGTTCGTGCTGCTCCGGCTTGGTTGGTACTGTATCAAAGATAAATGGGGACGCCACAACCTTATCGAGCAGCTTTACAGACGTGACTTCGGACTGCGTCTCAGCGATAACGCCAACGAAGGATCTACCAAGTACGCCGTTCTTGCCGAGAATTTTACCCCGACAAGTTTGCCCGTCGAGGAGTGACGCGGCTGCTCGTAACACCTTCACTTTGGCCTTTCCGCTGTCGACGATATCACACGCGACTCGACTGCAAGAGACCAGAGGCGAGTCTTCATTACAGCGACACGTAGCCCTCAGCGCCATCATCTCCACCGTCGAAGAAACGGCATTGCTATCGGTCATCATGTCGGACTCACCCAGTTTGCTGTCATCGGTGCCTGCCACCAACGTACCCAGTAACCGCCGCAATTCTTCTCTCTTTGGCGGGCTGAATTGTTCATTGAGGGCCTCAACGAACTCTCGGAAACCGGACTTTTCGATCAAATCAACGGGTAGCTGTTCTTGCGCAAGCCACCTCGCCAGCGCGAGCTTGGCGTCTCCAGCCTTAAGCACCGAGTCCTCCACCTGACCAGCTGTCGTCTGTCTGGCCGTCGTCTTCTCCTGTTGCGTGCGTCTGGTCCTCGAAGCCAACACACTGGGTGACGCCTGGTTGCGTTGCTCCAACAACTGTAGCAGCGCCCCGGCGTGGTGTCGCTCCAGATGCCGAGTCAGATTGTGCGTTTTGTCCTTGAGCTTGGCACCGCAGAGCAGACACACTCTCGAAGTGGCGTCCTCCGGTGCTCGATCCGGGTACAAGTCCCGAATGTCTACTGCGTGAATGCGGGTGACCGTCTCAACCTCCGTCTCGTCCGCCATGGGATAGTCTCGGTTAGCTGCACTTGCACTTGTACCTGCACGTTGCAAACTGCACAATAAATCAGTGTCAAGCAAATTAATTTCTTAACTCGCTACTTAAGTGGGATAGAAATGGATTGACCAAAAAATCAGCTTGAGCGGGGTTTCCATGCCCGCATTCGCTTGCGACCCGCCATGAAGAAGTTGCTGGGCGGCATCTTCGCACGCACGCAGTCGGCCGAGAACGTCCGTGAAGCCTCGACACCTACTGCGGATGCAGACTCATCCTATGTACCCATTGCTAAGCGGTGGGGAGGCTTCCTGCTGTCTTCTGCGTCGCATCCGCATCCTCTTCCTGCTGATCAAGTGCGCACTTACAACATCGTTTTAAATTGAAGAAATTGTAAGAATCTAGCGCTGTAATTCACGATAACATTACTTATGTATGGTATATAGGAAATGGTGAGGAGTCTGGATGCAGTGCTGCGAGGCGTAGCAGCACATATTAAGGCAGTGTATGTGGCACTGCAAGGGGCTTACAAGACGAGGAAGCTCAGTGATTCGTTTTCTTGGTGTGCAGGATCACCAAAATATTGGATGGAGAGCAGTTCGATCAGGAGCTAAAGAACTTGAAAGAATTTGTCGAGGAAGCAGCGGGCAAGCTTGAGCAGCAGTCAGGTCTACTTATGCATCGATGATGTTGAAGTTACTGTCGGGTTGGTATTTAACAGCTAACGATTATTGCATCACTATAATTTTCAGGTGAGCTGTCTTTGGAGCAGCTGAAGAGCTACTTTTCGAGTCCAATGGGGCTTGCATTGTGCGAGCAGACGGCGTTCCCGTCGTTGGTGCTGGATTTTGTGGCGAAGATGCGAATATTTTCTATGAAGGAGGAGCTAAGCAACTTGGTGAAACAGATCCAGGCTGTAAAACAGAGCGAAGAACCGCCATCGTCTGTTCCATCAGGATTATTTGAAGATATGATCCCGCCACTCGAATTGTTGATGAACGGTGTGGTCGCTATCGCTTCGAACGGGACGCTAATGGAAAAGTTTCGGTGCGAGCTGCCGAACCTAATCGCCATGACTGCTGAGGAGTATCCATTGGCGGCAGTATTTGTTCGTGACTATTGCAGCCGAGCTCTCATGTCAGTACCTGAGCGAAATTTTAGCGCTGGACTCACTTGGTACTTGCTGGATTGCGATATCATTGCTAAAAGTGTTGAACGGATAACGAATTATACGCTGGCCACGCCCACCACCACGGAAACGGCGGAGCGGGCATTGCATGCATATCTCCGCTCGACCTCAGAGCGATCCATTCATGCTTGCCGAGTGACTGGGATCGACGATTCTGCGGCTGCAGCTGCTGTTAGCGAGGCCCTTGGGCTCACTCGTGGTCGTGGAGAAGCCACCACTCCGACGGCGCCTCTTAGTTCTCCAGTGGCTGAGAAGTCCAGCGACCAAGAGCCGCCAACTTCGTGCGAGGTATTTTGCCTGCCTTCTTACGATGTGCGAAGTGGGCTCAAGTCTCTCGTTTACGTTCTTGAGAAAACGTGTCGCTTTACGCCAGTTCTATTGGAAGCGTTTCAGGCCGCAGGTGGATACGCGTTATTGTTGCGCCTCCTAGATACGTGCTCGGAAGACGAAATCCCTGCCTTGTTGGATATGTTGACGCTACTTATGCCTCTTGGGTCTCGTTCATCGGACAGCTGTGACAGTGCTGACCGCTCAATAGGCTCAAGCACGTTTGGTGCAAGAAATGTGAATGCTTTTTCTACCATGAGAGACTTACTGCTGAACTACATTAGTGATCTGACCACCAGTACAGACACAGCATCGAAGCTGAGTACCGAAATTTTACATCGGAAAGAGCATCTGGTACTGCAATTGCTAACCCAAGTACTTCATATCTACACAAGTGATTACGACAATTTCGTTTTTCTCGAGCCCAAAACGCGAACGTTAGCGCTACTGTTGACGAAATTGCCACACACGAGCTTCTATGACACCCAAGTAATTATCTTGCGTATCGTGGAGTATGTTTGTTGTGCTGCAAAACCCGAAGACTCCCTTCCTCACGAGATATTATCAGTGGTGTGTGGGTTGCTTATAGCATACGGCCCGCTTACTTTTTACGCAAGGAAAGAGAAAGCTGAAGAGCCGGCCGATCTCGAACTGCCATCAACATTAAGCCCTGAAGCAATGTTGAGAGCTTTTGAGGAAGGAACGATGCCAACGCTTTCGGCTTTAATGTGTGAGTGTTTGACAAAAATCCTGAAAAATTCCGACGCGGAGAGGTACAAGCAAGAGCTGAGCGCTTTTGGGCTGATGGATCGAGGAATTTACGTGTGGTTGGGTCAGATTGCTACGTGCTTAAGTGCTGTCCCAGAAACAGAGATATCTACAACGCGCCACGCTCTGATGAGTCTTAAGCCCCACCTCGACATGTACGGACATTTGCTTTGCTTAATGCTACGCCATAATGCCCAGGAATGTGCTCGATTCAGACAAGCCGGAACATCTCAATCGCTGTACTCTATTATCGACGTACTCGTATCGAGCGACGTCATGGCCACCCCTTTCGATATCGCTCATGAAGACGACCCCCACTTAAACGAGTTCTCGATTACGGCTGTATTTACGGAACTAGCGACAGTTTTACGATATCCAAGTAGCCGTGAAAGTGTTAGCCAGGCGCTCCAGACTGGAGTGGAGTTGGATATAAGCACCGTTCTAGACTTGCTGCAGCGCTTCCGTGGAGCAATTTGGCGACAATCGTTACTGTTGCACACTTTAATGGATGTACTCAAGGTGGGTGGCTCAACTGTAGCGGCATTGTGGAGATCATGCCAGGGCTATGAGATGCTGGTTGCGCTGTTTTCATCTCTTGATGTGAGTGCGGACGGCGACTCGCATGGACGCGTATTTCGAATAATGGACCTCGTACTGGAGATATTAAGCATCACACTTGATTTGCAACATGGCAACGACGATAATGTCGAGTATTTCAGGTCTATCGGTGGGTATTCTACCATTGCGAGCTGTATTGTTGCATCTGGTGTCATGCAAACTGCAAAGAGGGAAATGGTCCTACAACGAATATTTTGTCTTGTATCAAGTGGTGTCTCGCAAAGCGAAATTCACAATGGCGATGCCGTTTACATAGTGTTTAGACTATTGCCAAGCTTGTCGGAGAGCGATGCCATCGACACAATGAAGAAGCTGATCTTGATGCTTGAATGTGTAAGTGATGCTAGTTTAATTTCGAGGAAAGATCGGGCAATTCGTCTGGTATGCGCTGGTGTATTTCAGTGGATGGATGATCCTTACCTGATAAGTAGGGTAAGAGATGCAGGGAATCCGTTGAGTTCATACCTAGTGAAATGGATAGTGGCAGTCGCACTGGAAGAGGATCTCTCAATCCCACACTTACATGACGTTCTGAGACTTGTGGGAAAAGCGATGCCAAATCTTCTCGGTGAAAAACACGACATCGAAAATGCCACATCCAACGAGACTCCAGAGACTGGGCTGTTATTGCTTCAGAATTTACTGAGAAGTCCTGTTATCCGGAATATATCGGTGGGTAAACCACAAGGAGCTGAACAGACTGGGCGATACGTTCATATTGTGAACAGTGCTGACCGAGTGTGGCCTCCGCCATCGGGATACTCGTTTTCATGTTGGCTTCGCTTCCCTGCCTTACCAGCTTGCGACAACAGAAAAGGCTCGACTTCAGAAGCCTTCACAAGATCTACAGTATCGCTTCCACTATGTGAAGGCAGCTTGAGTTTGACACCTGATGACAACCACGAGGAACGAATGAATGCGTACTGTGTTTTAGTGGGTACAACCCTGACGCTGTTTAAGTCGAAAGACGGAGCTGTTACCCGTGAAGATGCTATCGGAGAGCTAGAAGTGGCGAATATTGCTCAAAAGGGGCCATTAGAGTGGTCATTTGTGTCGGAAACACGAGTATTTCTGGCAAGTTGCGCTGACGCAGATACTAAGGAGATGTGGTGGAGTGCCATGAAGCAGTGCAACAGCGCAAAATACTCGGGTGACCAGAGTGTTTTAAAAAATGATCGCGCCTCGAGCAACACGCTGCTTACGTCATTTGGAGTATCGAGTGACAGTGATCATGGTGTGAGCAGACCTATGGAGAACTTACCAAGTGATTCAGAGGAAGGATCTGCCTGCATTGTCTCCATTTATTCTCTCGAGACTTCTGGCTGTTTCATACGTGCTTTCTTCGAGCACTCGACCGGCTTTCTTCGCTTTCACACGGGGACTGTAAACTCAGGACCCAGTATTAACCCCAATTCAAAGCGCACGTCGGTCGTGTTTGACACCGTGGCAATCGATGAGCTGAGGCCTACTGCCGTTCCGATTGGTGTCAATAGTCCTTCACAAGTTGAGCAGACAGAACGAAAACGAGATTGGCATCACTTCGCGTTTACACACCGAAAATCGGTTATGGGGAGTTCTCTGATTACGGTATACATAGACGGACAGGAAGTTGCGACAAAGAAACTCAACTATCCTTCAGCACCTGCTGTTGGATCCTTCCAAGCGTTTGTCGGTAGTGACGCACAAGTATGCAGTCCTCATTCTGCGTTATCATGGAAAATCGGCCCGACGTGGTTGACAGATGAACTCCTTCCGAGTACTACAATTGTGGGGATATTCTCTCTAGGCCCGACTTTTTCGCACCTATTCAGTGGTCATTCGTATCGTTCAGTCGGGGATTGGCTGGAAGCCCTAGCGAGCTCACATATAGCTCGAGCGGCCGATCGAGGGGTCGAAATCGCCCAGTTTGCTCAGCGATTGCATCTTACCAAGCTTGGGCGATCTTGTCGTCGCCAGTGCAGAGACTGGAACGACGTTGTTAACATGGCACAAAGCACAACCAACGATGCAGTCGCTGCAGGTGCTGCGCTGATTGCAGAATCGATGATCGCCAAAAAGGAAGAACTAGCTGAAGGATTGCGTCTCGCGACTGGAGGAGGTGGATCTTCCCGTAAGGAGCGGAGTAAGGTGGCTGCATTCCGGAACTTTGTCAGCTACGAGTGCGCAATGAGCTCCTTTGGTGCTGAGACGGAAGCATTACTACAATCCTGTAAGTTCTCTGAAGAAACAGTTCTCTTCACGCTGAACACATCATCCAGCGACCGCTGCAACACACCTGTGCTGATCCACACCCAGGTTCACTATGTGAACTGCGATCAATCGAATGGCTTGGATTTAGCGCGATCGCTACCATCAGTTGGAGGCCTAAGCCAAATTTTTTTTCCGCTGTTAGATAACGCGACCCGACACTGTGACTTCTGCCTGGTGCTAGAAATGATGGCAATCATTCTACGACGCAATCCGTCCTGCATGGCAGAGTGCATCGAATCTAATGGCTACACATTGATCGCAGCTCTTCTCTGCTCACGGGTGGCTTTGATCGATGAAAACGTGCTCACGTGTGTTGTGCGGCTAGCTGTGGCTGGGACATTGGTCCCTTACGCAACTTTCAGCAGTGGGAAGACGCAATTGGCGCATCCAGTGGTGGTGGATTCTGTCGCTCTTGCTCAAGTACTGCTGAATGGAGAACTACGGAGGAAATTGCCGCATCATCTACAGTGCCAGCTTGTGTCGCTGTTAATGGACTTACTAGTGCCTGCAAACCCGAACGCAGTCTTTAATGCTCGGCAGCTACGAAGATCGGGAGTTCTTCAGTGGATCCTCACGTATTTAACAGAGCTAGGAAACGAGGAATGCAGAATGGACGAAGCTACTGCGTTGGAGATGAGATGGTGCTTCCCTAAGTTCTCGGAGCCGACATTTGAAGCAATTCTGCAGTACGCGTTGTCATTGCTACGAGCCTTTGTGCGCATTGAAAGCCATGTGGACGATATCAATGGGATGGGCGAAATGCTGTTGCTTTCCATGACGAATAGTGTCCTGCATACACGAGGGAGTCCGATTCGGATCATTCTGCTTCAATTTGTGCTCCATGAAATCGAGAATGATGCATCACATAGCGAAAGCAGTGGTGTTTCGGACGCACAACCACGGGGTTTCCACCTCTCCGACACTATCGTCGAAGCAGTTTTAAATCGCGAAATAATTTTTCCAGTAGCTAAGAAAAGAGATGACAAGCGCATCGAAGCCGGCAATAGCCTCGAAACTGCAGCTTTGGGATCGCCTTTAAGTGACAGCTCTGTAAAGCCTGGGAAATCGTTTTCCTCGACGTACCCGGTTGATGGCTTCGTAAATGTGCTTTTGGAGGTGATTGATCAAGGTCGTGAAGATGGCCCGTGGATATCTGTTGAAGTATTATTGGCGATCCGAATCCTGTTCTCGCTGGCTCAATCTCACGCGAATTTCGCCGAACATTTGTTATGCCACACTGTTTTGATGCAGAAGTTGAAGCGCGTGTTGCGCAAGTACAGCACCGATTGCTGTGTGTTCATTCCACTGATCGCTTACGTGTTCAACTTTCCTGTTGGTGACGCAAGTTACTGCGGCCCTGACACAGTCTCGACAACTGGAGTTGGCGTAAAACCTCTTGCGAACATAGCTGCGCTACGCTGTGTTGATCAAGTGTGGGATCTGATCGGAGATTTGTTGCTACAAAATTGTAGACTGGCCAACAACAGCGTTGCTACTAGAGTCACTGTGATCGTGTTGGAAAAAGTCGCATATCAAACTGAAACCAGCCCGTCGTTTTTCGCTGCTATGTGCAAATCAAGCGCCACATTGTTTAGAATCCTAGTGCAATGTCTCTTAAGTTGTCCTGCTTCGGGCTCAATGGATGACGGTCCGAATTCAGGAGCTTGTGATTTTGCGGTGAGCGCCTCTCCGGATTCTATGTGCGATACACTTCAGATACTAGCTGAAAGAATGGGCGCAGAACCGCGTGCTCCTTTTTCTATTGCAGATGCTTGTGTGCATCTCATTCAAGTCACCATGGATCGGGCTCTTTCTGGGAACGAATTCGGATATTTGACGATGCTCTTCTTAGAAGCTCTCGATGAGAACATTACAAAGCAAGGTGGATCGATTCTAGCATGCGTGGCTGGACAGAAGTGCTGGTTGGCGCTTTTAAAATTTGTCTTAGAGCGACAGAAGGTTCTGACAAACACCACCACCCTGGTAGCCATGAAGAACATGGGTATCGTGAGCGTTGCACTCGCTCGGTATTTGGGAGACGAGGATAACCATCTTTTGAAAGAGTCTATCAAAGACACCGTCACTTCAGACATCCAAGATTTTGACGAAAGCTTTGCAAGTACGTTTGTTGAGTTTGTTGCAGAAGTTCAAAGTAGTGACTCTTGTGCTACTGCCTGCTTTGGAGTGGATGCTCTCGAATTCTTCTTGTCGTGCTGTGATCTATGCTCTCGAGATGAGATTGTGGAAGCTGTGGGTGTGGAGCAGCAGCAGTTTTTCTATGGAGTCCTCATTTACTGTGCGCAGACAGTTTTGCTCAACGAGCTGATTAGTGCTCACAGAGATAGGTTTACTTTCCAGAGAATACTGAGTTGTCTGGTAGAATCGAAGCACATACTTCTACAGCAACCGAAGTGGCAAGGCGTCGTCGTTTGTGGCATCGTGACACAGAATACTACCAGCGATGCCGGCAATGCCAATGAGTCCAGTAGTGCGCCATCAGGACGTCAATCTCGCCGGGCGTACAGAGTTCGAAGTCTCAGTGCAAACTCGCACAAAGAGTTTGGCATCGGAGCTGAGTCTGATCGCAGTTTCATTCTTGCTCTGGCATCTCAACTCTATCGAATGCTGATGGACGACTCGGCTAATGTTCGCCACTCTGCAATTGTAATGTGGCAGTTTCTAATTGATCAGCGCTTCGACGTCCTGAAAGATATCCTAATTGCAGAACCACGAGCATCGGTGCTGCATACCATCACGTCTACCAAGAAGGAGGCAGCTGTTGATATTTTTCATGGCGGTTTCGATCGTCTTCTGTACGCTCTTCATGTTCCTGATGAAGATAAGGGTGCTCACGCTACCAGTACTGATGTTTCGCTTAATCAAGAAATCTGGTGTCAGTTCCAGCTCTGGCTGGCGGAGAATCATGCGTTGTTGGAAGATCTCATCGTGGCAAGAACTGACTCGATTCATCGACATATACAGGAAGTTCTCCTGTCGTGTGTCTGTCTCCGAAAGGTTTCTGGGGGCGCAGAGCTAAGCCTCGACACCAAATTCCCCGTACACCTGGACATCCGAAAAGAGGTGCCCAAGAACGATATCTATGATGGCTTTGAATCCGATCGTCGCGATATTGTTGCAAAGAAAACAGTGATGAAGTACACGAGCATTCGAGAAAGTACGCTAGAATCGATTAACGACGGATTATCTCAATGGCGCGAGATGTCTGTGCGTCTAGCATACACTCGGAACATTTGGCAGACAGGAAAATGGCAGTCAGGAGCCCACGAGCTTGACCCCGTTACCGATTTGGATCAGCAAAGGAGTATTTTCCAGCGTAAATCACTTGGATACAGTCTTGATCCAACGGAGGGGCCACAGCGAATGCGACTTCGACTTGTACGGGACTACACGTTACAAGATAGAATGTCTGCTGCATGGTCAGAGACTGGTCTTACCCAAGAGGCCGATGTCAAACCGAAAGATGCAGACAACTCACTTCGGCCTTCAAGTGAACTGATGAATGCAGCAAATTACCAAAACAACCAGCTTTTCCGACGAAGCATGGAATTCCACGATGCTGTGGAAGTTTTTAGAGAATTTGTCTGCCGGCAGCAAGCTGAACAGGTTACAGAGGGGAACGCGCAAAGGCTGCGAGATATTTTAACTCGCTGCAGGATGGACTGGACCCGCCAGTTACTCGAGAATCTTGTGGACAGCTCTGGAGACGTGACAGCACTTCTGATCGCTCAGACGCTATATACCTCTTTCTTCGAGGATGCAGAGGGTATGGATGAAATAGTGAGTATGGGCGTGTCGCCGTCTGTTGTAGCGGACATTGGCCACGTGATCAAAGACTCTGCCGATATTCCTGATGGACAGTCGATCTCGCCAACGCTTTTTGACGCGGCAGACGCTGAGGCGACACAGTATGCACTGTATGCGGTACGACAGGAGAGTATCCGCTCGCTTCAGATGAATACTACTAAGGTCGCGGATAATAGTGAGTGCGATGGATCAGGCGATGAGCTCGACGAAGAAACAGCAATTGGATCTGCACACACATCAAACGTCGAAGGTGCAGAAAGTGATGACTCCGAGGGCCCTGACCAAACGACACCAAACCAACAATCAGCCTCACTTCTAGATGTACTGGAAAATGATGCGGGTACACGAGACGCAGTCGATGTTTCCTCCTCATTTGAGCCAATGTCACCAAAGACAGATCAGGTGAAGCGAGTAGATACCTCGTCGGATGTAGTGTACGGAGCTATCGCTCGCTTTCTTCGGAGAGATGACTACCCCCCAATGCGAAGCTTCGATGCCGCGTACATTGTGGGTATGGGGAGAACTCCTGGTCTCTTCGTGATCTGTCGACACGGAATGTACTTTATCGGCGGGTATACGAAGCTCTACAACAACCCAGATACCACTCAAGAAAGCAACACGATATCAGCCACCACGCCAGAGTTGAATCCCAATTCGTCAGGCGAAAGTATATCGACTCAGCCAAGCACTCAGAGTGGCAAGAACTCGAGCACCCCAACAGGTAGCAAGAAAAAAACTACGAAGAGGCTCATCCAGGCTGCTCTGACTGATCTGGGTATGCAGTTTTCTGGATCCAAAGCTGAAGGCGACCAATTCTTCACGGTTGTTCCTTTACCAGACATGACCGCGCAACCTGGCGAGCCCGCAAATGGGTTATCAACACAAACAAGCCCGCGCTGGAGTATAAAGTACGCACACGTTAAGCAATTCTGCCGGATCAAGTATCAGTTGCGACCTGTTGGTATCGAGCTCTTCGACACATTTGGTTCTACTTCCTTCCTTCAATTGCAGTCGTCTGCTGAGCGAGAAGAAGTTGTCAAACTTCTCTTCCAAATGCCATTGGTGAATAGTATCTTCTGGAGCCCCGTTCTTCGTAGGGGGGCATTAGTCCCATCGATCAAGAGGATACGCCAGACAGTCACAAAACGATGGTTGCGTGGGTCTATCACCAACTTTGAGTATCTGATTCACTTGAACACATTGGCCGGACGCAGCTTCAACGACATCACGCAATACCCAGTGCTCCCTTGGGTAATCGCTGATTATACTAGCGAATTTCTCGATCTGGATGCAAGCGAAACTTTTCGGGATTTGTCCAAACCAATGGGGGCGATTAGTGCGAACCGTGCAGCTCAGTTTTGTGAACGATATGCGTCCATGAGCCAAGATATGGATCCAGGAACGCCGGCGTTTCATTACGGCACACACTATTCGTGCTCTGCATACGTGATCAACTACCTAATTCGCTTAGAACCTTTCACGGCTCTGGCATTAGAGTTACAGGGAGGTGTCTTTGACCATCCAGATCGACTATTCCGTAGTATCCCGTCGTCCTGGACTTCCGCTTCCAGAGACAATTTGCAAGACGTACGTGAACTCATTCCTGAATTTTTCTACCTCCCTGAATTTCTCTACAATGCCAACAATTGTGTGTTCGGCACTACTCAAAGCGGTGAGGAAGTATGGCACGTGATTCTGCCGCCATGGGCTCATGGTGATCCACGCGAATTTGTACGATTGAATCGACGAGCACTGGAGTCCAAGTACGTCTCAGAGCATCTTCATGAGTGGATTGATCTAGTATTTGGTGCCAAACAGACCGGTCAAGCTGCGGAGAATGCCCAGAATGTGTTTATGCACTTCACATATGAAGGAACCGTGGACATTGAGCAGATCACAGACCCCATAATACGAGCGGCTACACTGGCGCAGATTGAGAATTTCGGACAAACTCCGTCGCGACTTTTTTCGAGTCCCCATCCTCAACGTAAAGTACCAACACTAGTACCTACCGCATCGGTTACCGAAGCAGGTTCACCGATGAATCCTTCTGTAGGACACCAATACGATGGAATGACACTGAGTACTATCGAGGCGTATGTTAAGTGGCATACTCCGTTGGCTCCGGCGCTGGTTGCGATCGGGAAAGACTACGTGTTCATGAAAAAGCACTCTGTTGTTGCAATACAAGTGAATGGAACTGCGATTGGAGACGTCAAGTTAGTGCACGACAAGATCCAGTGCCAAGGTGTGGGGTGCTGCTTTATGCCTCCACGATATGCGAAATATTTGGATTGGGGGAATAACAGTGGAGTCATGAAGCTTCGTGTGCATCAGCAAAGTTCAGGCACCGGTCGATATCGCGAAGCCAATAAAGTTCTCGCTGTGATTGAAGGAGCACACCACGACGCTATCAACTGCGCGTCAGTATCGGATGACGGTGCACTTCTTGTGACAGGAGGAGACGATGCGGTCGTGAATCTGATTGAATGCTCTAAAGCCTCGGACGGACGTCGAGTGTTTAAACAAGCAGCAAAGTTCGTTGGCCACAGTGACGCTGTCATCTGTGTCGCCATCAACAAGGAATTCAATTTAATCGCAAGCGCCTCGGCAGATCGAACTGTGTTGCTATGGGATTTACGAACGAGAGCGCTACTCCAGGAGCTAGCTGGACACGCCGCGACAGTCTCCCACGTTTCCATCAACAGTGCGAATGGAAATGTGTTAACAGCAACGAGCTCGGAAATACGACTGTGGAGTATCAACGGGGATCTTCTCGCAGCATCAAGCTCGTCAGCTTTTGGTCTTCATGCAATTGTAAGAGCGTGTAGAAGAGAAAAATGCGCTTGGTTCATGCCAACTAACCAGCTTTGTGTGTTTGTCTTGTTGTTGTAGTCGCGTGCGATATCAACTCGCTGTGATTCGTGGCAAAGTGGAGTTATCGCGGTCACTGGCCACGTGAATGGGGCAATTGCCTTATGGGGGATCAGATACCCAGCCGATTTGGAGCGACAGAGGAAGGAGAACCAGGATGCAGAAGCTTCAGAGTCTCCACGAATCTGTACCTCACCAAGCAGCTCCAAGCGCACGGACTGTGTCAACATGCCGGTGTCGATTCTAGGCTCGTCAAGCCCGCGCACTCAGGTGATACCTTCCTGCCAGCTTTTCATTCTGAAACTTTTGCTTGATCATCGCGCGAAGGTGACATCACTTACTCTCGGTCCGGAGCAACGACAACTGCTTTCTGGGGATGAGGAAGGAAATTGCATTCGTTGGATGGACGATAGCGTCAGTACGAACATCCACTAGCCCTGACGCCAAGTAACGACAATTGCCGACGTGACTTTCAAGTTCTCATTATTTTTAACGATCGTTTTTTTTTCAGCATGAAACTTCCGGTGCTTGCAAGTGATAATCGAATTTTGGCGCCTGAAGAAATGAGAGCAAGAAGTCGGAGCTCTCAGCGGATTCAAGTGCTGATTGTTATCATCGCAACGTTTCAGTTGACAACATGGAAGCTTCTAGCCGTTGCAACAGCAACGTCAATCGAGTCACCAAGGCACCACCACCATGACTGCATTCACGACAGGAAAGCAGACCAGTTCGGACGCACAGTGGACCCAGAATCGCTTATTATTCCGCAGACGCTCGCTCAAGGAGAACCTTTGGAGCAGAATTCAGCTCATAAAAACTACTTTACTACAGCATTCCTGGACACGATCGGGTTAATGACAACGCAGACGGCTCGCAAACTTGAAGCCACTACGACATCATCCCCTTTTCAACCATTACGAATCGCTTTTGACGTCTCGAAGCTCTTCTCGTAAGGTGTTCGCTCATCTCGCTCGATCCACCGTTGCAGTATTTTCTAACAACAATGTGATTTTATTGTTTGTTTTGCAGCGATCCTGGCTACAAATGCGGTAAAGTGGGTGAGGTCGTTCGAGTGGACAACGAAGCGTACACTTGCTCACAGGAAGATATCCTGACGCCTGCCAAAAAAGATTTCCTCACTTCAGTTCTGCTCAATACTATCTCCGACTACTTTGGGAGCATTCTCTCTGTCCAGCGTGTAGCAGGAAACCTCGTCGTCAAGGGGATGTCGTGCTCTAACGAGACGGATTGGGCTTGCTGCAGCAACTCGATGCCCGCTTTCTACCGCACCAACGGCGTGGCCAACGCGGATTATTTGCTGCACGTGACGGCACGTCCCACAATAGGAGCTGTCATTGCGTGGGCGCTACCATGCAACCTGGACCAGTTCGGCCGCCCCATTTCAGGCCAAGCCAACTTTAGTCCGTCACGCTTGAATCCTTCGGGAACTACCGGCGCTAGTCGCACCGAACAAGTGGGCACGGCTCTACACGAGATGACACACGCGCTGGTTTTCTCTCAACGACTTTTTGTCAACTTTCGTCAGCCACGGAACGGGCCACTCTGGAAATATGATAACGTGGTTGTACAAACCAAGGGGACTGGAGGAATAACTGTAAGTAAGATCGTCACGCCACAGGTTGTCCAACAGATTAAGCGGCACTTTAACTGTTTCAACTGGGCGGATGCGGGGCTGGAGCTGGAGAACGGAGATAAGGGTGGTTCTTCGTTTAGCTCTCACTGGGAGAAACGCGTCGTTATGAACGAGTACATGAGCGCCATCAGTGCGTATGATCCAGTGTACTCTGCTCTCACGCTAGCGCTGTTTGCAGATAGTGGGTGGTACGAAGTGAGCTTCTCTCAAGCCCAGCCGCTTCCGTGGGGATATCACGAAGGCTGTGGGATTGCAAAGTCTCGATGTTCTCAATGGAGCGACCGCTACATCTGCACGGACAAGTCTCAACGCGGGTGTACAGCAGACTATAACGTCAAAGGCTATTGCAACGTTGCGAGCTATAGCTCCAGTATCCCTGCGGGCTTTCAGTATTTTAAGGACCCTCTTTTTGGTGGCCGGGACACATTCGCAGACTATTGTCCATTCTACCGCGGTTACAATAATGGAGATTGCCGTGGAATTGGACGAACTGCGACGATTTTGGACACGAAGAATAACATGGAAGAAGCTGGATTGTCTAGTAAATGTTTCCAGTCCAGTCTGAGTCGAGCTTCCGGTGATTCTGCTGCATTGCGGCCTACTTGCTACAAAGTACTGGATTGCTCGGCGACTACGTTAACGTTGTCTATCGGTGGGGTCAAAGTGCAGTGTCCTGCTGAAGGTGGGGAGATTAAGGTTGCTGGGTATAAGGGAAAGCTTGTTTGTCCGCCCAGCTCACAGATTTGCCAGCTTCTACAGGACAAATGCTCCGGTAATGGAGTACTTCTTCCCAGCGGAGAGTGTGACTGCTTTCCAGGTCACACAGGTGACGACTGCTCTGGAATTGAATGCCCAAGCCACGATGATGCTGAGTGTGGAGGCAGTAGTCATGGAAGCTGTGACCGGAGCACGGGGATCTGTTTATGCGCTAGTGGGTACACGGGCGTTAGCTGCTCGGAGCTGCTGTGTCCTATGGAGAGCAACAGCAAAAATGTCACGCAGTGTTCTGGTAACGGCGTCTGTGATGTGGATACCGGGGAATGTACCTGTCGTAATGGGTACTCTGGTGACGCTTGTGAGTGCGTTCCGGGCTGTACCAGCTTGTCTTGTGGAGCTAAAGGCGAGTGTAGTTGTGAGTCTGGTGCTTGTACATGCTCCGTGGGATTCTCGGGTGTTTCCTGCTCCGTTGCTGGAAATCCTGACGTGACGGTGTTGACAGAAGATGGAGTAAGTGTGACAGTCGGGGCGAAGCAGTACAAGTTTTTCAAGTTTGCTTTAGATGCAAGCTCTTACGATGTCACCTTTATCGTAGAGTACCCATCCGGTACTCCAGCTACGACTGACGTGGACTTATACGCATCATTTGATGAGAAATTTCCGACGGCGATGACAGCCAGCAGCATTCGTTTTTCTAGCACTAACGACGCGAAAGTTAGTGATGAAATTAACCTCTGTGGGTCACTTGGCGTATTCCCACGCGGTCTAAAATCTACGTCGCGTATTTGCAGTAAAGCAACAGAAGCCTATACTCAAGCAGTACCTGGTTATCTCTACCTGTCGCTGCTCGGGTTCTCCAGTGGCAATTCTCTCGTGCGTCTACATGTCGAGACGGACAAATGTCGTGGCGTTACATGCTCAGGTCATGGTACTTGCGGTCACAACATTCCCGGTGTTTGCTCCTGTGATCGCTATTGGAGTGGTGACGACTGCAGTGTACCGAAATGCGGACCTGACTGCCAAGATTTAGGCGCTTGCTCTGATCCCACCACGTGGACGGATTCCAGTGCAACCGTTTCGATCGGTGATAACTCCTTACGCAACACATCGGAATGTTTCGGGAATGGAGTGTGCCAAGTTACAGGAAGCGATCCTGTCTGTGTTTGTGACGAAGCCTTTGCATTTAGCCCTCCAACGACTTCAGCTCAAGCTCTCTGCAAGAGTTGGTGCCATGGGTGACCCACAATCCAGCATTTCACGGGTTCTTCAGGATGTAAGCAGGTTTATGGACTCACACGTTGAAAGCTGGGGAACCGGCATTGTATATCATTACGGCTTAAAGAAGAGAGTGGAAAGTTCTGGGTTGC